GTGTGTGGCACGCTGCGGTCCGTGCCCGGCCCGGGGCCCGCGCCTGCACCCGGGTGGAAGCGGGCCTTGGCATAGTTGCTCACGAACTGGTCCTGCAGGAAAGAGCCGGCCATGGCGTAGCGGGCGCCGGGTACAATCTGAGAGCGTGGAGAGTCGTTGGGCGAAGGGGTCAGGCGGTCCATGTCGCAGCCCGTGTAGATCCTGCGAGGGAGGGAGAAAGAGAGAACCGAGGGGTGGCGCGGACGTAGAGACCTTTAGGGTGCTGAAGAGGAAGCCACTTCCAAGGGTCGCCCACCCCCACTCCTTCCACCTACAACTAGCACTTGCCACACAAGGTGGAGACCAAAAAGGTCACAGAATCGGAAAGGGGCTGAGCAGGACACAGAGCATCCCTCGGAAGGCTTCCCTCTTCCCAGTGTCTCTTGCTGAGCGCACAGGTCCCAGGAGAGGAGGGCAGCTGGGGGCTCTGCTCCCCACCATCACCCCATCTCCAGCAGAGGTACGCACAGTGCTGTTTGCCCAATGGGCCTTTCCTCTGTGATGGGTTTTTGAGTGAAATTTCTAAACAAGGTACCCACATCCTACACCCTTTAAGACCTCTTATGTCCTTTTGATGGTTCAGATAATTTCTCTCAACCTTTTTCACATGGAAACCGGGGCTATGCACTTCTAGATAAGTAATGCTCAAAAGCTGGCCTTCGCTGGCCTTTGGAGAGCCAGAGGATTGCTGCTCAAAATCTCCAAGATACTTTTTCCCACTGTCTCCCCTCTGTGAGCCTCTGTGTAGCCCCCACTTCTATCAGTGCAAACAAACAAGAAATATCATTTAGAAACAGTCATCAATCAATAATTTGAAGGGAGTGTACTGGGGATTGAACCAAGGGTGTTATGCATGCTGGAGGAGCTCTTTACCACTGAGCTATATCTCTGACTCCAATAAAATTCTTTAAAATAAAATATATTATTTATTTTCACCTTCTCTATTCAGCTTTTGATCCATTATTGGCCAAAACATGGGGGTAAACTCTTAAGTACACTTATCGATCTCCTCTAAGCAATCTAATAGTCACTAACCTTGATTAAACTAATATGTGCCAGGCACTACTATCTGCAGGGTTGTACAGATAGAAACTTACTTTACTCACAACAATCCTTTAAGTTAGATACTATTATTATCCCACTTTATTAATGAAGAAACTGGAGCAAAGGGAAGTTAAATAACTTGTCCAGTCACCAACAGGGATTGTGTTGTTGGGAATTACCTTAGATAAAATAAAGATTAACTTAGGCCATGAGCCTAGAAAATCCCATTAGAATGGAGAGGGAACCAAGGATTGGATGAGGATTAAAAGTGTTTTCTCATACACATACACACATGCTTCCCTTTTTATTTAGCTCACACATAAGTGTTTTAATCTTTAGTCAACAGACTGTTTTGAAGGAGAGCCTCAGTCTTGTCAGACCTTAATCCTTTAGGAGGGAGATTCCCTGGTGAGTGGCCAAGCAACCTCCTAGTACCCCCTGAACTCTTATGCCTCTCCTTATATCTCCAAAGCAAAGTCACTCCCAAATCACTCAACTTTTCCCTATCCCCTAAAAACCCAAGGTATCTTTTTGTATAGATAGATTTTTATGAAAATGTATAGTGATTTAAGAGAGGGAAATTGCTTTTCCACCAGAAGGCATCCAGAGGAGGAGGAGCAGATGAGAGTGGTGGTGGCTGCTCAGTTGCCTTCTAACTACTACACAAATTTTTTCTCCTGAAATTTAATTCCAGTTTCAAATAAGAGTAGTAGAGGGAGGCAGGAAAGGAGCATAACTAGCAAGGTACAAGTATCTTCTCTGTTAACCACCACAATATTTTTAAAAGATAAAAAGCAGTCTGCAACAGATAGTTTAGATGCCTAGCCAGGTCCCAACCCAAACCCACATGAGATTACTGAATTGATTTGTGCAAATAAAATGCTTTTGAGCAGATGTTCACAGCAGAATTAAAAGCTCAAAATCTATAGGACTCTCCTCCAGCATTTCTGGTCTCTCGGGCCACAATCTTTCCACTGTGTTGGGCCCACTTTTCACAGTGAGAACTAGAATATTCAAGATTTTTATTCTGGAAAATCATGTTGATGAAGCTTACTTCCCTTGAAGTTTTTTTGAAGGATGTGTGTGTGTGTGTGTGTGTGTTTGTGTGTGTGTGTGTGTGACAGTGAGGAATTTATATATATAATATATATAATAGTGATATTAATGACTCTCTATACAGTTTGTTATAAAATGTCAGATTGGAAAGATGGATATCTGCCTGGAGATTTAATAGAGGCAGCCACCTGACTCTCCCCACTTTTTAAATCTGGGTAGCTTCAACTTTCGAACTCTATCCCAAGCACTCAGTACAAGCCACAAACTCTTCCCTTTTATAGTCAGAAAAAGTAGGCAAACTCTCACAATCCAGGTTTAGACTTTGCTGTATAACACTATCTGAACTCATAGACGCTATGACTGGCCCTAAGTGAGAGCTCCAGAAAAAGCCCAGAAAACATTCATTTTACACCAACTACTGCCCTCAGAAAACAGACTTTGCCAGAAAAAAGATAGAGATAGGTGAGGGAGACCTGAATAAAGGGAATCAACACATTTCATTAAACATACATGCATAAGATTAGTGGAAATATTCTTCTTTTGAAGCTTAGAAATAATATATAGCAACAGCATCTTAGTCATTTGAAAAGCCTGAAACCACCATGACAGTGGTTATGCTCATGAACTCTCCTGTGGTGGGTACACATTTTTATTCAGTCCACAGTTAACTTGCACAGGAAATGCTATTTCACAAAACTTGGAAATGAGTAAATAAAAGTCACATATGCCAAGGAGACTGTAACAACTGCCAGAACCACATGCACTTTCAGGCAGAATTGCCCGTTTCAGACACAGACAATCTGAGCTGAGCATCTGCAGCACCACATACAACACCCCAACAGGATTTAGGGCAGCTTCCCCAGCCAGCCAGCCCCAGAGGCCGCCAACAACTTTGTAATTCACAGGAAAGCTAAAAATAGGCAGAGGGAACCTTTGACCAAACCCATACAAATACTAAGCCACAAGGTCACCATAGAGGAGAAACAACCAAAGAGGGGGAGAGGGGTCTCAAACAACTGTGTCCTTACACATTCTAGCTTCTAAAAGACTTGTACACAACAATCCACCCTTGACCTAAAGGCCAGTTCTACAACTATGTAAGAAGCATGCAAAATTACTTACGTGTCATAATTATCCCGAAATCCTTTTGCAAAGGGGTTGTGATCTATTTTCAGTTGTGTGATCTAAAAAAGAGAAAATTGATAACTGTAATCTCACCTTATATACAGCAAGTATGCATGCTTAAGAATATATCATCTGACACTTCTTACAGGAGCTCACAGCCTATATTTTCATTTATTACTGAGATTTCTTAACTGAAAATTTTGAGAGAATAGATGAAAAGGAAAAAAAGAGAAAGCATCATGTAACTCATGATGAACATGTTTAAATTATAAACATAATATTAAATTATAAAACTAAAATATTACTTTCAATTATCTCTTTTACGTGTTTTAAATTGGTTCAAACTCACATTTTAAAAATGCTTATTATGATGCACAAACAAAAATCTTTAAGGGGAACTTGAATTCACCACCAAATGCTGCCTATTTTTTTTAATTTTCACCAAATTTTAAAATGTCAGTTGCTTCTGATTCACAACCTGAAGATCTAGTAAACTGTGTCTCAGAATTGGGTTTGAGTTAAAGTAAAATCATGTTTTCATTTTTGATATTTCTAACAAGTAAAACAAACACAAAAATCTCTGTCACTCCTAGTAGCCAAATTAACCACTAAAACGAGTTTTTGCAAACATGCGAATAATGAGGAGGTTAAAAACGCCTTAGCGCTCAGTAACTTGACATACTGTAATTTTCATATTTATGAATATGCTTCTTGACACCCCCAGCAGTAATAGTGTTGTTTATTTCAGTCATCAATTCCGAGACTTTTTAAAACGTTTTTTAGATACCAAACCTGTTAAGAATAAAATACAGGAGGAAGATCTGCTTGTTTCCCAGGGAACTTTTTAAAAACATTTTCATTTATACTAATCTGAGGACTAATTTAAAACTCCTCAAACAAGAGGCCCTAGAAACCCTGGCTACATCACAAGTGGTCTGAGTGACCGAGTCTGAGACAGGAAGCATTCCCCACACCGGCTCGGATTTTAGGGAAGGTGCCTACTATGGCCCGAACGCCCCAGCTGTAGCTGGGGTTAGCGCCGCTAGCGCCGAGTCCAGGAGGGCCAGAGGAGAGAGGAGCGCGGGAGAAGTCTGCCTGCGCGGCGCGCCCAGCCCCAGGCCTCCTTACATCCGTGTTCTGGTAGGCGGTGACAGCGATGAACTGAGTCTCGGGGAAAGTGAATGTCTGCACTCGGCCGGGCTGGCTGGTGTCCTCCGTGCCATCCTCGTTCACTTCCACGACATGCAGGCGGGGCTGGTACTTGTGCAAGGACTGTAAAACCACCATCTGTCCGGCGAAGAGAAAGGAGAGCGCCGGGCGGCGCGTTAACCCGCGGTCGCCTTGCGCGTGGCTCAGGGCTGCCAGCGGCTCGCCAGGGCCGAGCCAGGCACCAGGGAGCCCGCTGCCTCAGATTTCTGTCCTCAGGACTCGCCTGGCTGCTGACCGACTGGCCTTTGCACCTCTAGGAGCGAGGATCCTCCTGGTCACCCCAGAAAAACGGAATCCGATCACCGCTTCTTGGGTCCGTCTCGTAAATCCTCCTTTAAGGAGGAACAAAGATTTTTCAAAACCTGCAGATCTTGTGGGGTTCCTTCTCTTTTGCACTTGGAAATGTTGGAAACTCTGGACTTGGGCGGTGGCGTGGGGTGGGGGTGGGAGCAGATAGAATGTAAATTTGGAGAGAGGAAATATAAAATTTTAAAGTGTTTTTAAGGAATCAAAGAAAGTACCTAGCTTCGATTACCGCTTTAAATTGGCTGAAGAAGTGTGTGTGTGTGTGTGTGAGAGAGAGAGAGCGAGAGAGCGAGAGAGAGAGAGAGAGAGAGAGAGAGAGAGAGAGAGAGAGAGGAGCCCTGGAGCCACTGACCTGCCCATTGTTATTCGAAGCTCCTTTGTTGTTCGTAAGTTTTAATTTTCCAAAAGAGATCTCTTGGCGCATCCAGTGCGCCCCAGTGTTGGGGGAATCCGGATGCATATAGACCCGATTTCCTAGAGAAAGAAATAACGCTGTTTACATAAACCCAGGGCACTGCCCAGTCCCAACTCCTCGGCAAGCAGCGCGCTCGCGCGCGCGCGCACACACACACACACACACACACACACACACACACCTTACTCCAGCGTGAGGCCCATTAGCTGGGCTTTTTTAGACCAGGCTTTCTTCCTATTAACTGGGGATGATTAAAATAGCTTTTGCATAATCCTCCCCCTTCTCACGTTCAGTCTGTCCCAGTCCCCCTCGTCTTCTTTAAGAAGTCATTGGCCGATCGTTTTAAAAGTCGCTCGAGCCAGTCCACAAAGGCTTTAATTAATCATTCTCACCTAAATAAGTGTCAAGAAAACGTGTTAATTGGAAAGACTTGCCTTGCACATTGGTGTCCGCTTTGCCGCAAGGAACCCATTTGCCTCCTTGAAACCTCCAGTGATTGGGATCCGCCAAAATCACATCCACAAAAATATTGTAATGAGCCGTGGGATCGAGACCAGAAATGTTAAAACTTAAAAAAGGAAACATGCGCCTGTTTAAATTAAGGGGAGAAGAAAACAAGGAAAAAGAAAAATAAATGTTAACGATTAAATGCTAGAAGCGGGGCGCCAGATAGCAAAGCAAAACTTGTTCTCCAAGCACAGAGGAAGGAACGTTTGCTGGTCTAGAAAAGGGGTGGCGGGAGAGGGACCGAAGTCGGGGAGAGCAGCGAGAGCTGGATGGGGAGTCGGCAGGTACTGCTGTTCAGGTGGAGAGCGAGGTTGGCGACCCGAGTCTCCACCTGTCCGTAAATGCGGGCGTTGATGCGTCCCTCCCTTCGCCCGGCAGCCGGCCTGTGCTTTTCCTGTTTCTTGCCTTAAAGCCGGGCACTGACTGGCTCTCCGACCGTGTTGGTTCAGCATCTCGCCCCCTACTAACATCACCTTAGCAGTTATCCCTTCTACTTTCCCCTCTTCCAAAATTTAGCCAACTCCAAGGCGCCCCGGAGCGCCTTCCTCGCCGCTCCCGACCCCAGATCGTCGCTGCTGCCGCGGTGACAACCTGGGTGAGCAATGCCTGAAGCAGCGGCAGCCCAGAATGTAGCATTACCTTCCCTGTTTGGTGATGATCATCTCCGTTTGGTGCCGGTGAAATTTCAGCCAAAGGGGCCTGTTGCACAGGTACACCTGCGCTTTGCCGGGCACCAGCCCCGGCTGGGTGGAGGAGAATTGGTAGAACGGAGCTCCTTGGTAGGAGTGGCCGTATTGCTGTGGGTAGGGGTAGCCGGCCGCGGGGTAGCCCTGCGGTGAGGAGTTGGACAGGAGGCTGTTGTAGGCTCCGTTGGTGATGACCGGATGGTGGGCCATGTAGCGGCTGGGGCTGCCGATGGAGAAGGCGGGGTGCGCCGGTCCGTGCTGGCTGGGGTACGGGAACATGGCACTGGGAGCAGTGGCCGCAGACTGTGGCTGGCTGGACTGAGAGAGGAGGTAGCGATCTGCAGCAGAGCCATCGAAACTGTGACGAAGCTCAGAGACCCCGTCCAAGACAGGAGAGAGTTTACTTCTCTGGACGTCCCCTGGTGAGTCCTTGGAGTCAGGAAAATTGTCTGTATCTGACTGATTCGTCATCCCCCTGGTAATTTTTTTCAAAGGTGAACTTCTCTCCAGGTTGTCAGTGGTCGAGATAATGGGATGATCGTGCAAGACAAGCTCAGATCCGCCTGAATGTGGGTAGCTGCTGCTCACATTGAGAAATTTCTTGGAGAGCATGATAGAAGGAGAAAGGCAATGCTCCAGCTGCATAGCTCTAGAACCTGAACGCTCGCCCTCCTGTCCCTGGTTTTTAAAGTCCTATTTATCATAAACTAGAAATCCACAGACCCCCTCACTAGACAGAAAGCACTTCAACCAGCAAATGCTTCTCAAAGGTTTGATTTACTTTTTTTTTCCCTGGGAGAAGAGATTGGCCAATTGACACTATGCAGCAATCAGAAAAGGCTCACTTTTGATCTTGCTGCTTGTGCAGCCGATGAAACGGCTCCTGCCATTGGTTAACTGCTGACAGTAATTTAATTAGATAGACATTAATTAGGATAATCACCTGGCTCCTGGTCGCGACGATCATGGCAAATTGAAGGGGATGATTTTATTGTTGGCTTGGGGAGTGGAGAATGTGTGTTGGTTTACGTGAGCTCTGTTGTGTCACCTTTAAGCTTTGTGGCCACTGCTTTAGAAGATTCAAAAATGTGCGATTTACTAAACATTTTTCCTACCTTCCCCCTTCCCCGCTTTTGAGTGGAGGGGTGGAGGAGGGAATTCGACGATGCTAGGAGACTTTTCGGATTCGAATGAGCCAAATATTCAGTTGAATGTAACGATTTCAAGTGCAAACTATAGAAAGCGAGAGCCGGTGGCCTCTTCTCGCCCTGTAAGAGTTCCAGAGTCTGTCTTTTCCAGTTAACACAGAAGCACTCAACACCTGAACCAGTGCTTTGTGAGCAGGTCCTACGTGTCCTTGGCACCCTTATTCTACCCCCCCCACCCTTAAAACTACATACGGACCTAAGTAAATCCCGGCTGCTGAGAGTCACCGAGATAAGTTGGAGGGGGAGCAGTGGGGAAGAAAAGCAGCAACTCACCCACCCCCCCCCCACCCACCTCAGGAAGGTGGCTGGATTTCTTGGTAGAGCCCAGAAACAGTAACAATCTATGATCTCCTTTTTAAGTTTTGAAATAATCATAAGCTGTCGGGTTGAAGTGCTTTAGTGTATCTGCAGTGATGTTTACTGGTTCTTTACTAAATATTTTATTAGCCAACTTGGTTGCAGATTATCTGAAGAGCATCTAACTGGGCGAAGGCGCCATGCATCTTTCCAGTCCCACTGCACTCCCTTCTCTCAGAGGTACTGACTTGCGACAGGTTCAAAAGCCTGGCCAGGAAAAGAAAGGGCTGAGTCCCCGGTGCAAAAGGATTCTCCAGAAGCGCTAATCTGGGGAGACAGAGTGGAAGTGGTATCAAGGCAGTTCTTACTGAAAACGCGTCTGTGTGTGTGTGTGTGTGTGTGTGTGTGTGTGTGTGTGTGTAATGTTTATATAATCTGGAGGGGAGAAAAAGAATCCATGCCAGTAATTTTAAAAGGAGGAAGAATCTAAGGAGGAATGGAAAAAAGAACCACTTCAAAGGGATGTGGGCACAAATATATAGCACGAGACCTAAAGCAACTCCGAGGTGAAGAGATGTCCCCGGTACTTGCTCCACAGAGGAGCCCAGTCATTGGCCTGAATCAGAGCAATCTTTATTCGCCCAAAACTGCTATCTGTGGCCTGGCAGTTGACAACCTGTCTTCCCGCTGCTTTCCTCCCGGACTCCGAGCCACGCAGGAATGAGGAGGAGGAGGAGGAGGAGGAG